CGCGAATTGCGCGACAAACTCCTTCGATGTGGAGGATCGATATCGGAAGACGCCTTCGTCACAGTCGTTATTGGCGGTCTTGGTCTTCATTGGCGCTCCACTCGCGCCATACTCCGAGCCCACGGGAAGATCTCCGAAGCAGCTCTCTGCGCCGAAATTCATGCTGAGCAGCAAGACATGGACCTGCAAGAGGAACGGCACAAAAGGAAAACGTCAGTACCAGAATTTGCGTTTCACACTCAACGGCGCTACAACAACAACAACAACCGGCATCAACCGAAACCCGTACCTCCGTTCTGTCATCTCTGCAAGACTTCAGGACACCCTCGCACACACTGCCCGAATCGACAGCAGTCAACGTCGCCGCAGCGCCAACTTCGTCCTTCAAGCAGTCAAGTGGCCTCCACGCAAGCACACTCCACGAGTCAACTGCAGCCCTCAACGATATCGTCGTCAACACAATCTGCACAAGGAGCGAGAAACATCGTCAGCTGTATGGCAAGATTGACTGACTCCTGCATCACCGAGTCTCCACCACATTACTCACCGGAAGAGCAATTCGACAACAGCACACCTAGCCGCGAGTCGCTCCAACCGAACCCGACGTATGCAGCCATCGCTCAAAGTGAACCGTCCGGGAAAGACACTTGGTTCTTGGACAGTTGCTGCGGGCAGCATATGTGTTCCTTGGGTCATTTCGTTCAACGCGAACACCAACTTCAGCGCGAAGTTGTCATCACCGTCGCCAACAATCAGAACCTGCGCACACGACGACAAGGCGTAGTGCAACTTCAGTCACGAGAGACAAACGTCATTCTGCAAATGTCAAAGGTTTTAATTACGGAGGGACTCGGCTACAACTTACTGAGTGTCAGTCAGCTGATGGCGAAAGGTATCCACCTCGAAGCAGACAGCACAACACAGGAGTTCAAGCTGTACCACGGGAGAGGAGGCCTCTACATCGGCAAAGCCGTGCTGAAGAACAACGTGTTCGTCCTCGACTTCGTTCCAGATTTAGGCACCGCCGACAGCGACGGAATCGTCACCTTCACCTCCTGGACGCACCCACCGGATCTTGATCCTGACTTCAGCCCTGAAGGCTTCTGGTATTCACATACTATTCCTGAGGCAGAACGAACACGAGCATTAGCCACGATTCAACACTCGGCAGCAGCAGAGACAACATCGGCAGCAGAAGAGACAACATCGGCAGCAGCAGAGACAACATCGGCAGCAGCAGAGACAACATCGGCAGCAGCAGAGACAACATCGGCAGCAGCAGAGACAACATCGGCAGCAGCAGAGACAACACCGACAGCAGCAGAGACAACATCGACACCAATCGCAGGACCTTCAACGGCACCGGTCTTCGTCGACAACACATCACCGACTCCTGCGCAACAGTTGAATCCAACTCCACGAGAAGTCCATCGAAGTGCAAACCACACCGCAGGGTTCTACTCCAACTCCGACTTGTACCGCCGCTCACCCGGACATCGCGCTGACGAAGATCTCTGGCATAAACGAATGGGACATCCGAGCAACACGACGTTAAACAACACGATACGAGCAGGCGTTCTTGACAAAGACTCACTACTCTTACCCGACGGCAGAGAACTTCGACGAATGAGAGGAACTTGTTTCACCTGCCCTGAAGCTGACTTACCGCATCAGCCCTTCGTTTCTCACCACAACCCGAGCGCACCAGCTTACGCACCACTTGAGAAAGTGTACAGCGACATCCTGTACAACCGCGAACCTGGACAAGGAGCATACAACTACACCATCACGTTCATCGACGCCGCCACTCGTTATGTCTGGCATCTCAACCTTCCAAGCCGCGACATGGCCTTCGAAGCCTTCGTAGCCTGGCTCCCAGTAGCAGAACGGGAATCGGGAGTTAAGCTGAAGAGTTTTCAGTCTGACGGGGGAGGAGAATACACCTCACAGAGGTTCAAGCAGTACCTGGCAGAGAGAGGAATCAAGCGACTCATTTCTCTTCCCTACGCCCACCAACAGCAAGGCGTAGCAGAAAGGATGAACACGACTCTCCAGAACACCATGCTCAAGCTGCTACGTGGCATGCAGCTACCCAACCACCAATGGCCCGAAGCAATGGACCACGCTGTCATGCTGCACAACTTGCTCTCATCATCATCTCTCCCGAACAACGCATCACCGCACCTGCTGTGGACAGGAAAACAGGGCAGCACAAAATTGTTGCGAAATTTCGGCTGCATGGTACAGTACCGACCCCCAACTGCACGCGCCGGCCGATTCTCCCAACGCGCACAGTGGGGACTACACCTGGGCATTGAAAAGAATTACAACGCGTGGAAGATTTTCGACGTCCACTCAAAGGAAACAGTAGCAGCACGTGATATCATTTTCTACGAGCGACTCACACTTCCCACGTACCTTGCCAACCTGGAAGAAGACCGGGACCCCACAGGTGGTTTTCATGGTGACCGGGCCTTCGCCTCGGCAGCAGACGAAGCTGACTGGGACGAGCAGAACGTGGATGAAGCCTCGGAGGAAGCCGGACCTCTCCCTTACTGCTCCGTCGACGTCCCAATGGATGACGAAAATCCTCGCGAAAGCGTCAACGCTGAAGTATATTACCACTTCGCCGACAACGGTTACGTTACACCTGCAAGAGTCAACACCAACGAAGCAGAACGCATAGGGCCCAATTTCATACCTGATCAAGAAGCGGGAGACGAAGCAGCTTATCACGAGGATACAACACTTCCCCGCTACACACAGAGCGGACTCCAGATACCTGGCCACGTCACCGCGGTTCACGGCACGGAGATTCCTAAGGAGCCTGCCACAGTTCAACAGGCTCTGGGGGGGGAGCATAGGGAAAAATGGCGCGAAGCCATGGACAAGGAGCTGAAAGCACTAGAAGAACGGAACACCTGGAAAGTCGTTCCCATCGGCGTGGCACGTAACAAAACAGTACTCACCGGAAAATGGGTCTTCCGTGTGAAGACAAAGGCAGATGGCACCATCGACAAGTTTAAGGCGCGCTGGGTCGTGCGCGGTTTCGACCAAGAGCACGGACGTGATTTCACCGAGACGTTCGCTCCGGTCAGCCAACACACTTCGCTTCGGATTCTTCTCGCAATCGCCGCCATGAAGAAGAAGAAGCTGCGGCAAATTGACGTCGCCAATGCATTTCTCTACGCACCTGTTGACGCCGAAATCTTCGTCGAACTTCCACACGGCTCCAACGGAGAGCCCAACCAAATCTGTCAGCTACTGAAGTCCCTGTACGGCATCAAACAGGCTCCAAGACTGTGGCAGCAGCATCTACACGCTCGACTCATCCGCATCGGATTCCGACAGCTACCACACGACCAGGGCATGTACCGGCTCACGAAAGGTGACGACTACATTCTGCTCATCGTCTACGTGGACGATCTGCTCTACATCGGCTCGACCGACAGCGTCACTACTTGGTTTGAAGGGGAGCTGCAGCAGGACCTCACTCTCACAGTGTCATCAACCGTCACGCAATACCTCGGCCTCAACATCCAGGAAGTGGAAGGCACGATCTATCTCAACGCCGCGAAATATGCCGACACTATCGCCAAACGCTTCGGACTCACCCCGACCACCATCTCCACGCCATACCGCTACACTGCAGGAAATCACAAGGAAGGCTCCGCTCCGCTTAAGCCCGCAGGCATACGCGATTACCAGAGAAAGCTGGGGTGTCTCCTCTTCGCGGCCGTCACCTGCCGTCCGGATCTATCGTACTCAGCAAGCCAACTCGCCACCTACCTCAAAAGGCCCGAGGCAGAACACATGGCGGAGCTCGACCGCGCTCTTCACTACCTCGCTAGTACTCCGACGATCGGCCTGACCTATCACAAGAACGGAACCTCGACACCTAAGTTAATCGGCTACGTCGACGCCGATCACGCCGGCGACTCCGACAACAGACGCTCGCGCACCGGCTACATCTATCGCTTCGAACCTATCGGACCTATCTCCTGGCAGTCGAGCAAGCAGGAGTTAATCGCCCTCTCCTCAGCTGAAGCAGAATATATCGCACTCTGCTCAGCCACCAAGGAAGGACTGTACCTTCGCGAACTCCTGGAGGAAGCGAAACTGGCTCAGTTACTCAGCTTCTCCCTGTTCTGCGACAACCAGTCAGCAATCCGCATAGCCAACAAAAATGGATTCGCGAACAAGACGAAGCACATCGCCCTGCGATATTTCTTCGTGAAGGACGAGATCGAGAAGGGGAGACTCGAGCTGTCTTACTGCCCCACGTCTGAGATGGCAGCTGATTACTTGACCAAGAAACTCGGAAAGCAGAAGTTCGAGTACTGCATGCTGCTGACTAGACAGAGCCACGTCACCAGCAGCGACACTCCAGAAGCGAAGGGGAGTGTTGGAAACAAGTGATTTAAGCGCTCTGTCGTGTCGAAACACTAAGTCATAAACGAAGCGAAACACAGCGAAGCATCAGCGAGTCAACCCTCGGAGGTTGAGCAACTGCTGGAGGTTACGCGAAAGTCAAAGGTCAGCGACCTTTGACCTGACAAGTACAGCGCGACAGCAAGGACAAACAGCTGAATCGTCATTGAGCAGTTCCCCGAGTCGTCACTGTATCGAACCGCAACAGCAATAGTAAAACGGATATTAACTGTATCTCTTCGTATTCCTTGTACTCTTATAAAAGCTTGTATCTCTTTGCTTTAATCAATCGACTTTGCCCTCACATACCAGCGCAAGGTGGTTCACAGGCTTATCATTAAAACGCTTCCGCTATTACATCATTCCTACTCAGAGTTTAGTTCTGCAAAGATCCCGAGGGCTTTTTCTCAGCCCAACAATTTGCACAAACAGGCATAATAGGCTACCAAGTTTGAAAACTGTCTTAACCACGGTTCCTTATAAACGAACCATGATACAGTAATCACCCGCATATACCTACACCCTACATTGCTTCTCATTTCCCCTCCATGCATCCTTCCCGTCGCGTC